AGAGCCATTGGAATTCACATGATTTGTACATCTGAGGATCTGGCTGTTGGTTTTATTTTCAAATCCATGCTACTGTAACTCTCTTCGGCCATGTCTAGACTACATTTTCTTTCAAAAGAAGATATGCAAATTTGGTGCAAATTTTGGCTTTTTTTGGGAAAGAACTACATCTAGACTGCTTGGTTTTTCGGAAAAAACCTCTTTCAAAAAAGCAATCGTAAGAAGATATGCAAATTCGCGCCAAATTTGCATATCTTATTTCGAAGGAAGAACGTAGTCTGGATGTGCCCAGAGTGATCTCATAATAGAAACAGACAGTCATTTTTAATCCTACTGCACTCTTACCCTCAATAATCACTTGTGACAATGATTTACTTTAGCATTGCTTTTTAAAACAACACAGGTGATAGGCTTGATTCATCTTGCTTTCTGCTAAACAAGCATGCCTGTTGTAAATACTTTAGTAAATGTGTTAATTGAAATGACTGTCAGACTTTTGGGAAAGTGAGTCATTTTTGGAGCCACACTTTGGAAGTATATTCACAGTGCCATGGAAAGTGTGAAGAGCTACAAATTGGTTTGTTTACTATATTATAAGAGAGCCTGCAGTGCATAACTTATAACAAAACACACACACACACACACACACACACACACACACACACATATATTTCTGGGTAGATTCATTACAACAATGGACACAGCGGGCATTGTGTGTCAGCTAACTGAACTCAAATCAATCTTTCTAATGCCTTTCATAGTATGGTTTCATTAGAAGTCCACAATAATCATTCATTCATTCACCGTTGAGTGGCTGGTTTTGATTTGTGCTCTTTTATTGTAGGAATTAATGTGTATCCCATAAGATCAAGAATTTCCTCCAGAAGACATTCTTTTCAAATGTTTCCTATTTATTGCTTATGTGCTAAGAATATATATTACCTTTATTATATAGACATTAGAGGGTAAAATCCAGTGGGATATTTCTACCAAACACAGTATGCAGAATAGTAAATTCCTGTAGGTGTGAAATGAATCCCTGCTAGAATATTCACTAAGTTATCCAACATCTTTCCTTTCATGAAACAGATTAATTCACATTCCACAGAAGCTTATTAGGTATTTTTTATTACAACTCTTTAGGCTGTATCCTGCCTTCATCTGCACCTTGGATTTTGCCAATTTAAGAGGTAATTTGAATGAGAAAGTGGTTGCACATTGAAATGTGCATTCTGCTTCCTATTATCTGCAGCACATCTGGGGAGCACAGTTCAGGTTGGGAGGGGGAAGAGTGGTTGCGTGCTTGTCCTAACTCCCGGCTGTTACAAGAAAGGAATAAAAAGAAGCAGGCAATCCATAAAGCAGATTCCTGTTCCTGAATTCTCTCTCTGCATTTAAATCTAGAGGGGCAGTAGGGAATTGTGTTTACATTAAAGATTTACCCAAGCAGGTTTAGGTTATGCTACTAGCATTTACCCAGCAGATCATAACAGGGCTCGCTCACCTTGGCTGCAAGGCAGAGGCCATATTTTCACAGCTGAGTTCTTTCTGAGTAATTTCTCTGATGCATTAGGCACTACAACATATTTAACCTAGGCTCTCGATGCTTTCACTATTTACAGCAACCAATTTTTCCTCCCCCAAACATTTTCACTCTGGCTATTGCTAGGGAATTCATTCCCTTTCAGCCCTTGATGGAACTTGGCCTCTCAGTCTTCACAAAAGATTTATTTCAGAGGGGTCTCCCCCAGGATCTTAATATTGCACAGCAGCTGATTCCCATTGCTTTATCCTAATCATTTCCTTTTTTAGTGGGGCACTGACCAAAATGGGCCAAATTCATCCATGGGTATGAGCAGGTACAACTCCTTTGACTTGAGAGCTGACTGACCCCATCCCAAGGATAAAGTGGAACCTCTGATTCACATCAAACCTAAATAATCTATGAACATTACTTTTTCCATACATCAAGTGTAGTAAGAATAGCCTTGATATATGGGAATAATGACCATCTGGGGTAACAGCCCTTGGAGCAGCAAACTTTTCCTATCTAGTTACTGATTCTTTGGACCTGGGTACTTCACACATGAAGTTTTACACCTTTAGTCTATCCCTCTGGCCTACAGGGAACAGAGAACAATGCAAGACATAGGATTTTACTATTTATCAGCTGATTTTTAAACAGTAAATTCATGCCACCATGGGCTGTGTGATGGATGGGAAGAGTGCTGTCCTTTTCTAAACATCCCAGCATTCAGTAACTAAAGGGTTAACCCAAGTAGCAAGAAAATGTTGGTAGGGAGCCAGGAGAACCAATGGGAAGAAAGTACTGAGATTTGATTTGAAAGGGGTACCTGCTTGCTGTTTTCCTTTGTGTGAGTTTAAACCAGGATCTGGGGAAAAGAAGATGCCTCAAAACAAAAAGGAATACCTGGGCCTAGAATTGGATGGAACCCTGGAGTATGGATATGGGAGTATGTAGGGAATGTTTATGTAGATGCAATCAGGTTATTTTCTTTGTTTTGTTGTTTGGTTAAACTTCTCTGTGCTAAGTCCATGTGGTTCCCCCTGCCCCATACAGTGTAACCTAAAAACCGGAGTCTTAGGGTATGTCTATACTAGTCTCCTAGTTCGATCTAGGGAGGCTAATGAGGGCGACCGAAATTGCAAATGAAGCACAGGATTTAAATATCCCACGCTTCATTAGCATGTTCCCGGCCGGTCGCCATTTTAGAAACTGACTAGCCCGAAGTAACTGCCCGCGTCTACACGTGGCAGTGAAATGGGATTCCGAATTAAAGCCCTAAATCAAATCAGCTGGTAAACCTCATTGCAGGAGGCTGAGTGCCACAGCGGGAGGGGAAGGGGAAGGGGGGCAGGGAGAGACGGAGGGGAGAGAGAGGCAGGACGGGGAGAAGAGAAAGAAAGAGACAAAGAGAGAGGCAGGAGGCGGAGGAGAGCTGAGAGAGAGAAGGGAAGGCAGGAGGAGGAGAGAGAGAGACAGAGCGAGAGAGCTCAGGAGAGAAGACCTGAAAATCCCATCTTAGGACGAGCTAATTGGCTAGTTACCAATACTAGCACAGCTAATCAGAATTCTATTCAGCAGAAAATTCTAATATTTTGAAATGTATTCAGGATGAAAAGTTGAAATATTGAATTTGCTGAAGTATTGAATCTACAAAATGATCCGAACTGTCCAAAATATTTTGATTCCAAATATTTTGCTTCAATATTTCCAATTAAAATGAAACATTTCAACGCTGCCAAATCAAACTCTTTCCTTTCAGTTTGCTGAACCAAATTGAAATGCTTCATTTCTCATTGACTCAGCATTAATCTGTGTTCCCCTGAGTTGCTGGAATGACTCGTGGGAGTTGTAATTGGAATGTTTCATGTCTTGATTATCTTCTATGGGGTGGGCTTCCTAGCCAGACTACATTTCATTTCCCATAATTCACTTTGGACACATAACGACCATGATGCACTATGTTGGGTCAATCAAAAGCGAGACAAAGTTCCACCATGAGAGATATAATCCAACCAGGGAGCCCAGTTCATGAAGGAGGAGGATGGCTTGAGACACCAAAACTGTAAGTCCCATGCGTCACAATGATAGCTCAGGCAGCTACTGATCAAAGATGAACAGACCTAAAAAATGTTTTGATTCAGTTTGACAAACCAAAATGTTCTGACTCAGGGTGTGTCAATATGAAACAAAGGATTTTGTTTCAAATTTCTCTGTGGAAAATTCAAGAAATTTTGAGGAAAAAAAAACACAGAAAAGTTTGATTGTCTGGAAACTGCATGTTTCCAACAGACCTTGACATAAATTTCCCAGCCAGCTGTAATTACTAGACTTTGATTTCAGTGACACTAGTGGCATCAGGAAGGATGACTCATATGAGTTGAGGTTGCAGCACTGTGCCTTATTTTCTAACTTTAATTTTCAGGCTTCAGAATTCCTTCCTGAATCCTCTTCAGCTGGAACTTTCAGAAGGACTCGATTCCCACCAGTGGGGCCAGATGTTCAGAGCTTAGGATGGAGGGTTTTGAAAATCTAGTTATAAATATCACAATGTGAGCTGTGGGACGTTGAGCACTTTTGAAAACCTACGCCCTCTTTAGAGGCTTAAATAGGAGCATCATTCTTTTGAAGAGCTGTGACTTACTGAGGGTGCTTGAAAATCCTGCTCCGACCTCTTTAACCCACCAGATATTCATTGTAAGAAGTCAGGATCATGTCGTTTTAAAGATCAGAGCCATAAACACATCAGAATTCAAACACAAGTGGTTAAAATGTGTTAAATGAATGCTTGCCAGAAGGCTAACTGTGGACATAATATCCAAAATGCAATTGTTGCTCAAAATCTATGATGCTATTGAATTTCCTTGCTGCTAGGATAATAGTTGGGTTGTGTGGCACAGATTGAAATCTGGATGGAGGAGGAAGGAATGAGGCACATGGTGAATGACAGCAGGGAGCTAGTCATGTCAAAAGTTCACATTCAATAATTATATCAATAATTTACAATGCACTTCTATTCCATTTTCTTTATCAACAGTGCCTTCTAGAAGTAATTTGAAGAGGTTACATGGGTTCATCTATGCCACAAGAGGATGTCAGATACTGTATGAGATATGATGGCTACCCACCTCTACATTTCTTAGTTAGAAGCAACTTTGAATTCCTTGCCAATGTACAGCTGCAGTGTGTATTACTCACCTCATTCATTATTTCCACCATATCATCATTATCACCATCAGATGTGAGCATTTTTCTTTTTCTTCACTGTCCATATTCAGAATTGATAGGAGTATAAATACCTCCTGACTGCATGTGTACACCAGGTATTTTATATCAGTATGTTGCAGAGAAGAATGTACAGAAGTGAAAAAGAAGCCGTGCTTATGTTATTGCAAAAGGCTGCCTGGAGTAACATCAGGGCATTCTGCATCCAGGTATGATGAAACATAGGCATGATAGAGACATTTTACCTTACCTAGCGATGCACAATGCTCCTTCCCGGCTCTGTGAAGGATCCAGCTTGTTATGAGATGCTTTTGTTCTATGAGCCAAGTTTTCCCAATTACCTGTCGTTGAAAATTCTCCTGTGCCCTTTCTGGTTGAAATAGTGAGGAGCCAGCATTTAGTAGTCAAATAAATGTACCTGCAAAATAAAATAGTAAATCTTCAATTGGATCAGATTTCAAAGCTGGGAGATATTTAGATTCATTGATTTGAAAGGAAAGTAGTGAGAGAGCCATATATTTGGGGAAAATTCTGTCCCACACAGCACCTTCTTTTTACTATCCCATCAGGATTACCTACTTGCTGTTGCATCCCATGTTGGGCAGCATTCTCTCGGTCTCAGAGGGCTATTACAGGGAATGAAAGGGCTAGGCTATGCCTGGCCTCTTTTGACCTTCTTAGCTCTTTTTGGAATTCAGCGACTGCCTTTTTACTTGGTCCTAATCTGGATCCTTGCCACTGTAGTAGGGAAAAGAGGGCTCTTATCACTCCCCTGCTTCCTCACACATTGTGTATCACGGTGAGAACCAGGCACAATTTGGCCCTCCCCAATTATATATCATAGAAAGTTAGCATTTGAAGACTAGTATACACTGAGGGGAAGTCAAGCACTAGGAGACAAGAAAGATGGTCTAGTTGTTTGGCCATCCATCTGGCACTCAGGAAACCTGCCTCCAATTCCCTGCACTGCCACAGACTCCCTGTCTACACTGTCATTGGCAGCCCACAGCAGCATGTATCAGAACCTGGATTGACAGACTCGGTCTCGTGGGGCTCATACTAAAGTGCTAACACTAGCTGTGCAACTTGGACTTTGAAGCTTGCCCCCACTCTAGGCTTCTAAGCCTCAGTCTATACAGCAATTTTTAGCACCATAGTATGAGTCTGGAAAGCTTGAATCTGTCGACCCACGCCCCTGGCTGCTACTTGCTGGATAGACATGTTCTGGAGCATTAACTAGACTCTCTTTTTCTGGGCCTACTCTGTGAATGGGGATGCCAGTAGAGGCTGAATCTCTTTAGTCCGGCACCCTTGGGATCTGACCAGTGCCAAACCAGAAAATTTACCAAATCATGGGAGATCAATATAGTCTAGGAGCACTTCCACTGCTTACTGGGTTCCTAGAAGACATTTAGGAGTAAATTAGGGCTAAATAGCAGAACAGAACACTGAGAGCCAGGACTGGTGGCTATAAACAAACTTTATTGGACCATGGGAAACTTGGCCACACTCATGATTAGTGGACATCTGGCTAACTAAAATCATGCCGGACCACAGATGTTGCCAGACCTGAGAGTGTCGGACTAAAGATGTTCATCATCTGAACTTCTTTTACTCACAGAGGGACTATAAGACTCAATACATTACAGATTTTGAGATGCTAAAGACTGTGGTGACAATATAAGTGCTATAGTTAGATCACTTAGTAAATTTGTTGTTTGTTGCATCAATTCCAGAACATGCTGCTTCCTAATAGAAAATATTCTGCCTGCATATATGGCCTCATCAGCTCTATATCTGAACACAAGCTTTTTCTCTCTACTGTCATTATGCCAGACTAATTAGCTCAGAAATTAGGTACCTATTCTTTTGGAAAAGGGCAGAATAGAAATAAAAACAGCATAAAAGAAAATCATAGAAAGTTGCGGGGTAGTGAATAGGAGAAAAGAAAAGAAAAAGAAAAAGAAAAGCAGGAAGTTTTCCTACTCACCCAAGTCAAACTGGCTGCCACCTACTCACTATTCTGACTACTAGAGGTTAGCAGACAACCTGTCACAGAAACCCAAATGAAAAGATTTCCCAGTAGCAACATAATCATCATTCTGGATTGAACAGTAGCTAATATAATGCAGAATAGCTTTGTACAGTTCTTTGGGATGTGAGGTTACTATGTCTAGGGTTTAGGGATATTAAGCCCTAGTGTGTTAAATCTCATATTTCTCCCTTCTTTATAGGAACACACTGTATATAGCTTTGAAAACACTCAAGATTCAGATATGCTATTGAAAAAGGAGTGTTCAGGAGACGTTATTTATTCAGCGCTTTGCTCTTATATCTAAATTTGATTATTTGGGGCTAAATTCTTTGCTGATGTAAGATGATGCAGGTCCAGATAATTCAATGGAGCTGCACCAGTTTGCACTAACTTAGTCCCCGATTTCTGCTATTATGATACAGACTGAAGTGTAGGACAAACTGAGCAATGAGGCAATCCTTGAATTCCATACTCACTTGTCACTCGACTGGAAGTCCTGTTAACTTCAGTGGGAGTTTTACTCGATTAAAGACTCAGAATTTGACCCAGTGTGGCTGAATCAGTAACCTTCGGAATAGAACGTGTAGCCTGTCAGCATTTGCAATCATGGCTTGGGATGCGGGAATAAAATGTTGTTCTTGGGCAGTTCTAAAAAACTGGAAAAAAATGTATCAGAGTTGACCTGAAAACAAAACTTTGCAGAGCTTCTGGCAAATTAAAAAGTGGGAAATAATTTATTTGAAATCAAGCAAAATGTTTCATTTTGACGGAGAGCTTTTTTTTTAAAAAAAAAAAAGATTTTGCATTTTTAAAAATTACATTGAAGGAATTTCAAAACAAAAAGTAATTTCAATCAACTTGAAAAATTGAAACATTTCATTTAAAAATGCCGAGATGAAATGTTTAGACTTTTTTCAGAAAAAGCAACTGGGTAAGACCAAGAAAAATTCACAAAGCATTTCAGTATCATCAAACATGTACTCCTCAACCACTGCCCTCCCTCACCAAAAAAAAGAAAAATTGGCCAAAAAAAATTCTGTCCTGTCCAGATGAAATCATGGTACATTGGACCAGATTCTGACCTTAAGGCATCCAGATTCCATTGACTGTTGGGGGGCACTGAGTACCTAATCCTCTAGCCCACATGAAAAATATCAATCTCCATCTCCAGGTAAACTGATTGATTAGTAAACCCAAGTAACTCCAATCCTGGTGTAACTGAGATCTGACCTATTGCTAGTCTCTAATTTGCGTGTCTCAGATTGTTTAGAATATTGAATCAGTCATGGCTAAGTGAAGGTTAAAAATATCATAATTTAATATAAAAAAGCTGGTTTTAGTTTTTAAAATCTCCTTTTCTAATATGCCTCTAAGGACATTGCAACTGAAAAGGATCTTTTCTGGCAGTCAGGAAGTTAGACTCACATGCCATGCAAACTTGGTAAGCTCTTTATTCCCTTAAACAGTCAGACTCATTTGCCAGTTTGCTATTATTGCTCTTTTCTCCTTCTGCAACAGTAATTATTGCTCTAAACCCTCCAAACAATCTCAGTGATCTGTAGCTGAGTGGATGCATTTCACATTTAGTAAACTGACTCAAATGGAGCCAGGGTAAGAATGAATTCCACAGCTAGTGACTAATAATACAGATGCTGTGCACTAAAAGCCAGCACTGTTAATGCAAAACTCGAATGATTCATATTCATGTTCTCTAATAGAGTTCCTGGCTATTGCACAATGAGGGCATTAATTAATTTATATATGTGTGTGTCTGCGTAAAAAGTAGCGGTTCTGAAATGAAATTCCAGTGTGTTTCAGCTGCATATATTTGCATATATTCAAAGCTACCTAGAATGGTATACATTGCAAAGACTTTAACATACTGATTTAATGCATATTAGGTTTAATTATTCACAGTTTGTCTAAGTTTTGTTGTCCCTCCCCCCTTGTTTGCATGTTCCACTATATATCATTATAGGCAATGCTGATGCAAATTCATGCTATTTTATTAAAACAGTTTCACTAGAAACAATAGAAACTATTTTGCAGCCGGATTATCATCAACAGTTATCACCAGGGATCAGTAAAAATAACTCAACTCTTAATGTCCGGACATGTTCATTTAATAGATAAGATCATTAAAATGTAGATGTTTATTTAAAGGCATTCCAAACATTCCAGATCAAATTGTCCAAAACCTCTGCTCATGTGTTAAGGGAATTTTGTTTTGAAGGAAAACATTATGTATATTGTCTACCAGCTACATCTATCTTCATGTACATTTCTGAATGAACAGTGATGCATTCAGGCAGTCGGCCAGATTGTGATCCCATTCACTTTATGAGCTCCAGTTCACCTACTCTGGATTTTTCCTAGTGCAACTGAGAACTGAAACTGCTCTGATGTCTCCATACATCCTCCATTAGGATCTTGGCACAGGATTGAGCAACTGGGATTAAAAAGGCGATTGCCCTTGTTTGTGTTTGATATCTGAGGCCATTCTTCTGCTATTTCCACACTAGCTGAAATAAAGAAATATAGGAAGTCATCTCATGAGATTTTTTAACTAATTTGCAGACCATTCAAAGCACCATCGCCAAACTTCTGGACGCTTATGAAATTTGCCTATCACAAATTGCTTCCAGGTTCAGACAGTATACAAAGGGCAATAGGATTTGGACAAGAAACAAAGATGGTGCTGATGAGGATAGTGGTGTTTCGTCTTCCAAAATGCAGTACTGTCCAAACTGTGCTCTCATTTATATCCATGTGCTCATGTTAGTTAGGTTGCACACATATAATGGAGTTCAGAACTTGGACTACTGAGATCATTCGCACATCAAAGTTTAGCAGAGAACAAGAATTTCATAGGAAATCTTAGCTGCCTACTCCAGCAGGATCTCCAATATGTGCACAGCTGGACCTTGTGTGCTGCGTGAACAATCAGATTTGTAAAGCTGCTTTTGGCTCTGGGTTTGCATGATGCAGTGCTGACAAATCTTGTGTCTTTACTGGTAACATACTCAATTTCTCTAGCAAGGGACCAATATGGAAAGCAAAATGCATCTTATTTTGTCTCTGTGTCTGTTTGTCTGTCTCTCTGGAATATAGTTTACGCAGCACTGTATTCACTTCTAGCAATGAGAAAACTGCTTGAGGGAAAATAAGAACCTCTCATTCTATCCTCTGCTCTCTGCTGGAGTCAAACCTGAGCTAAACTCAGTAGGAGGTTTTGAAATGCTCATCTAATTCCTTTCCACTCAATGTTTTTCAGATGGTGGGAAGGATGGCTTTGTGGAGAGCTGAATCTACAGCTGTAGTGTCCAACTAGTTCCGAAGCAACAGCCACTATAGTGGCAAATTAGACACACTCAACTGGCCAAATACCCACGTTGTTCAAGGCAAATAATCACTCAACTAGCCAAATAGCCACATGTGGCTAGTGGCTAGAGTGTTGGACACCATGGATCTATAGCCTTGATCCAAACAACCTCAAACTTTGGGAAAAGTTTAAATTTAAATTCCAATTTGAAACTCATTCCCTGATTTTATGTGGGAATGAGTGAACATTAGGCCCAATTCTTGTGTTGTAGTTATAACACAGCTCATTCCCTGATTTTATGTGGGAATGAGTGAACATTTGGCCCAATTCTTGTGTTGTACTTATATCACAAGAGAGGGACTGAGGTCGTGGTATGAGACACATCTCTGCCATCAGTTTCTTAGGTGACCTTGGGAAAATCATTTGGATCTCTGTACTGCAGTTTCCATATCTGTAACATAGGGAAATGTGCCCCCACCTCAGGGGAAAGTTGCAGAGCTTAATTAGCTCAGATTAGTAAAGTCTATTGAGATCCTCAAATGGGAAGCGGTATATATGAATGTAACATACAATTAATATTATTGTGCACTACTAGGATTCAGCCAGGACCAGAATTGGGCTTTATGACCTAACCACGACAAGGAAAGATGGACAACCTCATAAGAGAACCTTCTTTCACAGCCTGGGTAATAGTCATGCTACTCTACAGATCTGGAAAGTGGGCACTAGGCAGGTGCTTAGTGACAGATTCTGCCTACGTTGACAGAGCCAACTATGCCAAACCAGAGTGGCACTGCAAACCCCCATGCCAGGGTGCAATGCCATTCACTTGGATTTGGGCAGCCACCCCATACACCTCCTCCCCCAGAGACTGAGGAATGGCCAGATCAGACCTCAATGAGTGGTACTGTGATCTGACTCTTAGCCTCCTTGCCAACCCTTCCCCCCACAACCTCTGTGAACCATCAGAGAGCTCGCTGAGTCTGCCCAGAAAGCCAGACACGCCCCCGACTGAGGCGTGACTTTGTTGCAGGGACTAGGAGGGGGTGACACTGAAGTTTTGCCTAGATGGCAGACTGTCTGCAGCAGCCTCTGCTGGAGTGGGATTCTTGGCATCTGCTTATGATTCCACTGGTTCAGGCAGGATGTGGCACAGCCAATGCCATCCTTGCAAATGCCAAGACAGGGACCCCGATGGGTGTAGCAAAGAGTAGGAGGTAGCATGTCAAGGGCATGTGAATAACAAGGCCGACAAGTATCGGAGGGGTGGCTGTATTAGTCTATCTGCAAAACCAAAGAGAAGTCCTGTGGCACCTTAAAAAAGACTAACAAGACTTATTTGGACACAAATATTCCCGGGCAAAACTCCACTCTGTCAGATGCATGGAGTGTAAATTACAGAGGCAGGAGTAAATCTACTAACACATGAAAAGAATGGAGTTGCTTATCAAGAGGCGGACTGGTGTAATATAGAGAGTTCCTACTTGGGAGATTGTGCTACTTCCTGATTACTGAGCATGCCCAGATGCCTATAAGGTAGGAACTTCTGACATTACACCGGTGATAACAAGACCAATCCAGTCACAGTGGATGTGGCCCACTCCCAATAGCTGATGAGAAGGTGTGAATACGAAGCGAGGGAAAATTGGTTTTGTAATGAGCTAGCCATTCCCAGTCCTCACTCCAACCCAGCTTAATAGTGTCACGTTTGCAAATGAATTGCAGCTTTGCAGTTTCTCTTTTTCTGAAGTCTGTTTTTGAAGGATTTTTGTAGTTGTTGTTGTTGAAGGATGGCCACTTTTAAATCTGTTAGGGTATGTCTACACTACAAAGTTAATTTGAACTAACAGCCATTAGTTCGAATTAACTTTAATAGCGGCTATACATGCAAACCGCTAGTTCGAATTTAATTCGAACTAGCAGAGCGTTTAATTCGAACTAGGTAAACCTCATTCCACGAGGACTAATGCCTAGTTCGAATTAAGTAGTTCGAATTAAGGGCTGTGTAGCCACTTAATTCAAACTAGTGGGAGGCTAGCCCTCCCCAGCTTGCCCTGGTGGCCACTCTGGGCCAAACCAGGGAAACTTTTCTGCCCCCCTCCCAGTCCCAGAGCCCTTAAAGGGGCACAGACCCTGCACCTGTCATGGCATGGCATGAGCCAGCCACCCACTACCACCCAGCCCTCTGCCTCTTCCCAGGACCAGGCTGGCGGCTCACAGGAGCCTGCCCGGGGCCACAAGAGGTGGGCACCCGCATGGTCTAGTGCGGAGATTGTGGACCTC